ATTCCTAAGCATTGTTTAACCCATTCCACCATTCTGTTCGAATTCTCCTCCCTCACTGTGCACAGGTCAGCCTCATAGAGGACACCACAGATTTTCAGACTCCCACCCTGCTGTTGCACAACAACACATCCCCACGGCACCCTCCCTGACCACTCTCCCAGCCCCATGATCATCCACTTCTCCAAGTTTACTTTCATTCCCATAGCTCCCCCAAACATGTGCACTACCTCCCTCAATGCCCCTAACTTTGTCTCCTCACACACCAGAATAGTAATATCATCCACGTAACCTACCAAATCAGGCCAAAACTTCCCCATACCTTCCCCTCTCCCATTTCTTAGACAATCCTTCACCATCCTATAAAAAGGATCCTGAACACATGCAAACAACAGCCGCAACATTGAACATCCCTGCCTAAGACCCCGCCCCATGTTGACTGCCTCCCCCATGCACCCGTTCATTTATACCTGCGTTTTCGCCCCCAAGTACAATGTTTCCACCAATCACACAATTTCCTCCCCAAAACTCTGTCTGATGAGAATATTTCGCAATGCTCCCCTTTCCACCCTGTTATATACCCCCTGCCAATCTAATGCCAACAACCCCCCCCCTCCCCCTTTCATACTTTCCACAAACCCCTTAATGATCCCGTGACCCATGACCATTGACCTGCCTGGCAACCAAAATTGAGACTCGGACACCACCCTCCCCACAACATAGTTAAGCCTGTTCCCCAGAACTTTCGCATACAACTTATAATTAGCACAGAGCAACGAAATAGCTCGGTAATCCCCAAGGGTACTCTGATTTTTCCCCTTTAGAACCAACACCACCACCGCCGTTGCCTGCGTTTCTCTCACCTTACCTCCGTCTTTCATCACATTCATTAACTGAACCAGAAATCCCCTTAGCATCCCCCAATGTTGGACATAAAATTCACATGGTAAACCATTTATCAGAGGCGCCTTTCCCATACTCATTTCCATAAGCACTCTCCATATCTCCTCCTTTTCAATGACCCCCCCCCCCCAGTGCTTCCCGATCATTCCTCCCCAGTTTGCAAGGCTCATATCCACACACTCGCATGAGAACCTCCCCATCCACCCCACAACTTTTCCAATACCCCTCATATCATCTATCTGCATACACACTCATCTCTTTCGTTTCCCTTAATACCTGACCCTCTTGAAATCCCCCCACCGAAGAAGTGACTTATAATCCCGGGATTACAGCTGTTTGCTGTCTCAGCTTCTGGCTTGCAGCATGCAAGCCAATGGCCTGTCTCCCCATAGAACCTCCTCCATCCCCACCTGTACACGCACTGCTACAAATCGCTCCTCTTGCAACTCCCTTATTCTTTCCTTCAACATTTGTATATCCTCCACTTGATAATTTCCAGCCACTGCTCCCCCCCACATAACATCCCCATAATCTATTTTACAAGTAATTTGTTAAGCCAAACTGCAATTGATTAATTCGTTTACCCTCCCTCATGTAAAACTGATGGATCCTTGCTTTTGCCACACTATCCCACCACCCAACCACATCCTACACAGTCCTCCCCTCCATATGAAGCTGTTCCTATAACACTGCAAAACCTTCCATCCCTCCCCATCCCCCAGAACCATCGTATTCAGTTTCCAATAACTCCCATGCCTACGCACCAAAATCGCCCACCCCACCTCCACCATTACCGCCCTATGATCAGAATACGCCATCTCAATGGTCTTAAAAGACTCGACCAGTACCCTCTTCGACAAATATATCCTGTCCAACCGTGCCGCATAGCCCCTCTGTACAAAAGTATGCGCCACCTCCCACACCCTTTCCCCAAATGCATCCCTTAACTGGATATCCCTAAAAGGATCCCCTAAGACTGTAGAAAAATATCCTGCACCCTTAGGTTCCACATATGCCCTCTTGATAACACAATTCCAATCCCCCCCCCCACAATCAAAACGGACAGTAACGTGCACAGGAAGTACACAAGTTCCTCATGCACGAAATCCATCTTCACTTTCGCATCACTTTCAGCTGGGGCATATACACACACATAGGCCACTCACCCATCCACCAACCTTCCACACACATGACTCGCCCCCCTCCCTCCCCTTACTCCTATGCAAAACAAACAGGTTTGCCTCCCTGATCAACACCCCAACTCCCTCTTTCAACCGATCAGATGGCAACACAAACGCCTATCAGACATCACTAATTCATGACCAAGCTTAAAATTGTGTTCCTATACAAAAGCCACATCCACCTTATATCTGTTCAAAAACATTCTAAAGCACTCAAGTTTCACACCATCACACAAACCATTTATATTTATAGTTACACAACTGAGGCCGGCTTAAAGTTTCCATACCCGCCTCCTCTCAACACTCTTCCCATTCCGACCAGTCCCCTGGACACTACTTTTGCCGCTCTCACCACTCTCCTTCCTCCCTCCCCACCCTGCTGGTGTTGCCCTCCCTGAGAGTCACCTCTGTTTATATGTTCCCATGTCTTTTTCTCTGGCCTTTGCGCCGAACGTTGTCTGAATCTGACGCTGCTGCCCTTTTCCGTGTTACGACCTGCGCCTCCATGGTAGTGTCCTGAGAGGCCGTTTAATATCTTTATTATGCATCCCATACCCACCCTGTGGGCGGTAGTCAAAAGATTACAAAGGTACATAATGGGTTTCAGGGACTGGACCCCAAAGTTATGATAGCTGAACTAGTTACAAAGGTAATGAACTTCAGGTAGATCTGGTCACAATCATGGCAAGTTACAAAGGTAATGAATCAGCCTCACTCCTATACATGGTTACAGTCATGAACAAATTACAAAGTAATGAACCACTGATACGTCCACACCTGGTCACAATTGTAATGAGTTATAAATACAAATATTAAGTGGGTCATACACCCACACTAGCGCGCGCGCCACACACACAAGAGGGCCCACGCACGGGCATATGCACATGAGCATACAAATATATGCATACGCACAAGCACGCACACCCACGCACACACACGCCCACATCCCCCACCCCACACACACACCACACCACACACACATGGTAATGCATTATTTACAGCTAGCAAAGTCAGGGTATTTCTCCAGAATGGTCTGTAATATACCACTGTGGATAAAATACTTTGCCATTTCTTGAACATTTCTGAGCGAATTGTTTATAAATTCATTAATTTGATCACACTCCAGTACATAATGACGCAAGGTGTGACAATAGTCCATCTGGCAAAGTTTACATTTCGTTTGGTCTACATCTGGTGGCGGTGATTTAACCTGCCATAGATACTTGTAACCCAGCCGGAGCCGGGCAGTAGTGACATCCAAGAGTCTGCTTATCTTGTTGGATGCACCATAGACATGTGGCTCCTCCTGCATGATGGAATGATGATAGATGGACTGACTTGTGTCAATCTCCCTAAGTCTTAAGTCAATAAAGTTCATTTGAAGTTCTTTTCGTATTATTGTTCTCAAACTGCTAACTGACAACCCAAGATTGTAATCTATCCCCTCTTTGAAAGCATACAGCTTAACCAATTTGCTTTCAAAGAGGGGGTAGATTACAATCTTGTGTTGTCTCACAATGCACTTCCACCTCCACCATCCCATATTCCACTCCATGGCCTTCTGTGGCAGCCGCACTGTCCATCGTAGGTGCCACATGGTCATCCCTCCTCTCACACACTACTTCCTGTGCTTGAACGCCAGTCACCTGGCCCTTGTGACCCTCTTCATTAGGCTGTAACATAGGGTTCAGCACCGTCGCCAGCTCTATAGCCGTCACCTAGGCACACACTTGCACCTCCTCGCTCAACGTCGGTACTGATGGTAGACTAGTTAATCCCTGGGGCTCCACATGCTCCCTCGTTTCCACGGGTGGAACCTCCACCTCCTCACTCCTTTTACGACCATGCCCTCCTCCTTGACTTCGGTCTTCCTGAGGCACCTCACGCTCATTAGCAGACGCTCTTCCTCTTGCCAGCCCAGGAGCCCATTTCTGCTTACCACACTCTGCCGCCATATGGTCATATGCACAACTCAGGCAGCACGTACGCCTCTGCCCGGCATACGCCACCATTACCAATGTTTTAAACTCCTCAAGGTAGGCATATGAGGGCATTGTATGTCTGTCATTTTAAGAGCAAATGTGCCTTCCGGAAATCCTGCACAGGCCCCTGTCACCCACTTTCCAGGTTGGGCCAGATGAACAGTCCCATATCTTTTGAAGACACGTCGGATATCAGCTTCGTCCACTTCAAATGGCACGTTGCGTATCGTGACCCATGTGTAATGTCGCGATACATCAGTCAACTTGACCTTCACTGTCGGTGTCACGTCAACACAGGCATCTTGGAAACGATCCACCAACGACTCATACATTGGAGCGGATAGCACTTTCACAGTTTATATGCACCATTCAGAGCCACTCCATACAATTCCTTGCTGGTAGTAATACCCTGGCGACGAAGGCGTTATTGCCCCACGGAGGAGCTCAATCCACTGTGTTTACTCGCCGCGCACACCTAGTGCCATATTATCTCTGGGTAGCTCGCTTGGTAGAACAGTAGAGGGTGCGAAGCACGACCGCACTCCACCTCATCCAGGCAGGGAATATGGAGCTACTGTGCAGCATAACCTCTCGGCCCGAGAGCGAAGAGGTCAATGATTTTTGTGAGAGTGGTGAAGAAGTGGGCATCGAGGGTGTTACAGTTCGGCGACCTACTGTGACTTAAATCCCACTCATCTCACCCAAATTACTTGCCTGTAATAATTCAGGTAATACCCTGTAAACCTCATGAAGGTAATTTGCTCACATAATAATAATTCACAATTATTATTCTTGTAGTTATTAGAATAATCTTAACAGCTTAAATTACCTTTGTCAGTCAATTCGGTTTTCTCTGAACACATGATTACCTCTTCTAACAAAAAGCGTAACACCCTAACAATTACCTCTGATCTCTATCAAAAAAAACTAACTTTACTTACCATACTAAGAGTCAGATTGTCTGTTATGTGAACCTCGGGGATGTCGGTGGTCGCCACGGTGTTGTTGAACACCCAGCTGAAGGTCACTTGCTGTGGGTGGGCATCCACTTCACAGGTGACGTTAACCATCTCGTTGCGAGCGACTCCGTACACCCAGCGCTGCCCAGGCCGACACACAGGCGAGTCTGCATAAGAATTCCTCACGATTATTATATGTAAATGCATTTAGGAAATATCTAGAACATGAAATGTTCTAGATATCCATGAACATGACAGGTCATGTTCGTGGATTTTCTTTCTCTTCTTTGTCCTTTGCTGCTGCAGCTGCTGCACATTTTGTCCCCTTTATACTGTACTAGGGGTTATAATGAATTAGAGTTTCCAACTCCTTCAGAGTCGCCCGCTATATTTGGGGTGAGACATCAGTCTCGGGGATTTAAAGGGGTGATGTATACCAGTAAAATATGGAGAAACCACTGAAATACAATTTATGATTGTAATATGTCATTAACACAGATATAATGAACAAGTGTGTGGATTGTAATTTCCTTATCAAAAATGCCAAGTAATAAAATGGTTTCAAGTAATATACAATCATAATAAAACGATTGCAAGTAATAAATGATGGTAATAAAACGATTGAAAGTAATAAACGATCGTAATAAAACGACTGCAAGCAAATAAGAGAATGGGTGAAGCTCAAACACATGGGAAGTGTCACAAAACTTACAGATAATATCATGTAAATAAACCCATAGATTTTGCAATAAATAAATTATGTTTACTATACTTGCAAGGTTTTTTGCTATCTCCTCTCAGTATCCACAACTTGTTCAGTCCTTCCAAATAGAATCCAGGTTTAATATATCTTTTTTTAAGTATACTTAATTGTGAAGTGATAAATAAAACAAGGGACTATAATAATATTTATTTTTAGAATTATATAAATTGCTGTAATATTAAAATTTAAGTTTTGCTTATATTAGTTTTAAAAGAATATTAAATATTAACGTATACGAGTGTCACTATAGTGAGCCAAGACAGCGCAGACTACTCGCTAACACTTATCTCCGTATCATTATAGAGAACAACAACGAAAGTGACTGCTAACTTACTTTGTTAGTTTCATGAGTCTTAGTGTCAGTATGGTGAGCCACGGCCGCCGTGACTACTGGCTTACCCAGGTTTGACTCAATGCTCAAAGCGTTACTACGGTGGGTGTGATAGTCAAGGCCTATTATACTACATAAAAGAAAAACGCTAATTTATTATTACTATTAAAAATGAAAAAATAAACTTATAACAAATATTACTGAATTTTATTATATAATTTAAATTAAAAAATAAATGCACGGCAGTATATTGAAACAATATGAAGTGTTTACTGGAGAATGGCTCTTGATATCAGAAAATGAAGCTAACGTCCCCTTTCTTGGCCCTGTCTTGATTTCCTCAAAAGTCATTAATATCAAGCACTATAGAAAATTAACCAGGAGAGGTATATTGATGGTTCGGCTGTAAGGAAACGGTATCTCACAAAATTAACAGAAGACTAGTATTTGAGTAGTGATGATATGGTCTACATGATTTATACAAGAGCGACGTAATTTTGTGATCCTCATTCTGGCCATACACGTTCCCCGTGTGTCCACAACCTTACACAACCACCTAAGTGGACGTCTTGTCTGTTACGAAGAATATCACTATCTTCCCCTAAATCTATTCAGAGCTGCAACATATCTAGACTTACTAAGTAATTTTTCTTGGGGCAATGATAATTAATTTACTGTTGGTTTTCGAAAACTTTCGCCCTTCCGACTAGAGTATATCTTCTGTAATATTTACACAGGAGATGAGGAAAGGAAGATAATCTGTGTATCTGGCCACCTCAGGTTTTACAGGTTTGGTAGTACTCAGTATCCAATACCCCTTATCTCACTGACACGAGGTTCAGATAGTAATGCAACTTCAAATATCTTTAATTCAGAGTTTATCTAAATGTATTGATTTAAAGAGGAACGTATTTCACCTAAAAGAGAAATATCCAGTTCATAGATTTGAGTATTTGCACCATTTCATAAAGAGATCCACCAATAAGTCACACTTTGCACTTATGTTGCTATGTATGATAATCTATGTAACTGTATTTGTATTACTTACATCTGTGTTTAGGTTTGACATCAAATATTCACCTGAAGTCTCACAATGGTCTAATTCCAATACGTTCGGTATATGTTCATAATCCTCATTAGACATATCATTTTTTTTTCAATGAATTAAAGAACCTATTTTCGGAAGGCATCAGTTTTTCATATTTCTCCAAGATAGCAATATAATCATAACACAACTGTATCTATGGTAAATAAGGTAGTAGCTGCAGTTATGGGTAAATCTTTAACAGTCTAGTGAGTACACCTTATTGATATGACTCCCTTAATGTATGTTTTGCTTAATAATCTCATTACAACCTTTAATCAAACTTTTCCGATCACCACCTTCACAAACCCTAATGCTTGTCATGACTGAATGATAAGAAGATATTGCTTAAATGTTAATTCTTTAAAAATGGTTCCTGAATCATATAATAAGGCTTGAGGGAGCATTATATCCCACATTTCTAAGCATTCAATTGTTCGCTGTCAAACTATGATCGAGGTGTCTGTGTTTGTGTTCTGAGACTTCAAAGACCCTCCCTCACAACTCACACTTTTATTGCAGTGAGAATCTTGCATCATCTCCAAGTATCATATCTATGTCATAAATATAAATGTCATAAATATAAATCAATATATATTCACTCTCCTAATAAAACGAGCCACAAGATTAATACCCTTATATGCAGGTTTGAAAACCACTTTCCCCTTCCCTATTAGTGATGAAAAATGAGTATGCTGTTACTTAACTGTATGATACAATTTTCCTTTTAGAGAGAGAGAGATGTATAACTTGCACATTCAAAATGAAAGCTGCTAATGTTAAACTTCACAATTTCATCTTCCTCTAAAATCTTGCAACTGTCTTAATGTACCTCTAACTGATTCTGAAGAAATATTATAAATTAAGCCTTGTTTGACATTATTTAAATGATTCATCCGCTCCATGCTCCATAACTTCAAGGTTGCAAGAATCAAAATCTCTGATTAATATCTTAAGTGACTCATTGAAAAATAAGGTAGTGCTGATAATATTCGTTTACTCCATACATTCTTGCCCAGCGAGACTAATATTGGACCCATCTTTATCATGGTTCAAGTGTTACATGTACAGTAAAACCTTTTTAATGCATTCTAATATGGTCTTCCTCTCTCTGGCAGAAGGATTCTCATTAATGATAGACTTAATGTGATTTAAACATCCTCTCCTAGTGCTTACACTTTTAGGCATATTTTTCCAAGGCATGCATTTCTGTGGTAATTGTAAGTAGCAATAGCTCTCGGCACAAATAAGTTATCTACCATCGTATTAAAAATATATCCTATCTCTTAATTTCTTCAGATAATCTTCATATAACACAACAAGATCTTCATAAACAACCTTAATAAATTATAGATAGAAGGTGTCAATTTGATTTATAATATACACACTCCATGATTATTCAAACCGTACACAAATTTAGGCAATTTAAAAAACTTTCAGTATCTAGGATTTCAAAAGAAACATTTATAACAAATCTTCCATGGTCAGGGGGTTATGATATGTTTGTTTTACTAACAACGCTCAGACAAGTGTTTAAAGTTAAATGGAAGGCGAGTTCTCTTACTCTCTAGCTATGTAATAAAAAAGAAGCCAATAAAGTTAGGAATCCTTAACCTGTAAATAGCTTGTCAATAAAGCTAGGGATCCTTAACCTTGTCAAACCCGTGTAAAAAAAAAAAAAAAAAAAAAAAAAGAATAAAACTAGTGATGTAAATTTGTTGTATCTGGGAAAGCGTATTTTCTAATGATACAGCATCCGTTAAATGTCAGTTATAATAATTATAATTATGATCAAGGGGGAGAGCTAAATCCGTAGGAGTATACAGCGCATGTTTGGAGGGGGGGGGGTGGAAGGTATTCAGGCTCAATTCAGGGAACTGGAGCACAGATCCAATTCCCTAGATCAAGAGCCCATCATCAGCGTCAAGGAACCTAATTGAGGGGTCTTCAATGTCAAGTGATTTCTAATTCTCTACAAGTCTAGGTCGTACCACTCTGGTGTGTCAGGTTGAAATAAAGCGTGTGATGACTCTGGTTGAGGAATGTCTGGATGTGCCATATCATGTGGCTTATCAAGTGAAGTTCCTGGCAAAGCAGGTGGAGCCTGTGATGGCCAGAGTGTGTGGGAAGCAGTGCGGTACGTTTCATGTGTGGCACATGTCCTTGTGCTTCTGTATTGCGACATTGAAGCTCGCTTGTAGTCAGGTGATTCGGGGAGGGTGAAAGGAAGGGATTTCTGTGGTCATCTCAGCTTCTCGTCTCCAGTACTCTCACCTTTCATAGCACTCGCGCCTACCAAATTTTAGCCGTTACAGTACATAATTCCTTAGAAATTTCATGAAACATCCTTAGGATAATTGCTAAAATCAAATCAAGGACTAATAATCATTAACTACCTATAACATCATTAATAACACAACTGAAATTTTAACACCTGATTAAAGTTTCAGTATACCTACATAGTAACAGTATTTCAATAATGTCTGTAAGATAATATTGCTAATAACAATAATGACATTTTTAAAGCCTATTGGACAGTCAGTATGGTTTAGATTAAACTTAAACGAGGTCGCTGTTACATAAACCTACATGTACATGGTTCCAAAATTTGAATTATGTCTTCAACGTATCGTCGTAAATAAGCTTAATATCTCTGATAACTAGTAAACAGTCAATAAACCTAGAAGGAATTAGTATTTGGATAATTCCAATAAGGTATAAGAATGAAACAAACAATCTTAAGCGCTCCATTACCATTAAGTTCGTTGGATACATCTCCCAGTTTCTTCGGTTGATCTCAGTACGTCTTGCAGCTACATGAATTAGATTTCTTTCGTAAAATGAGCATCTCGCTCATTCTTCCTTCCGATCGGTCGCACGTACCTTGTTAGTTCGTGTTCACATATCAAGATTTGCTTTCTATATGTTGCATTTAGCTTTCAACACCATTTGATATCATCAATCTACTTAATTTGCGCAATTGATGCAG